CGGGCGCCCGGCTCTTTTTTTCTTTTTCTTTTTTGATCTGTCATGGGCTTGAACTCTGGACCTGGGCACTGCCCTTGAGCCTCTTCAGTTCAAGTCAAGCACTCTACCACTTGAGCCATAGCACTACTTTTGGTTTCCTGTTGGTTAATTGGAGATAAGAGTCTTATAGACTTTCTTGCCAGGGCTGGCTTTGAACCACAATCCTCAGATCTCAGTCTCCTGAGTAGCTAGGATTATAGGCATGAGCCACTGGGGCCCAGTGATTATAAATATTTTTAAAAAGGTAATTCCAGCCACTCAATTTCTTGTACCATTCTCATTTTATAAATTAAGAAACTTGGTGTTTGGCACATGTGCACACTCAATGTTAGTTATGGTATGTAATAATTTTAGGTGACTTTCTCAAAGTGGTCAAGCTCTGAGTCAATGGCAATCATGTATAGAATCCTTTGAGGCCACATCCAACATATTCTTCCCTCAGTATTTTCATTTTCATATAATAGTAATGCTTTTTTTTTTTTTTGTCGGTCGTGGGGCTTGAACTCTGGGCCTGGGCGCTGTCCCTCAGCTCTTCAGCTCAAGGCGAGCGCTCTACCACTTGAGCTACAGCGCCACTTCCGGTTTTCTGGTGGTTTACTGGAGATAGGAATCTCATGGTCTTTACTGCCCAGGCTGGCTTTGAACCGCGATCCTCAGATCTCAGCCTCCTGAGTAGCTAGGATTACAGGCGTGCGTGAGCCACCAGCGCCCGGCTAATAGTAATGCTTCTTTGCCCATAACACAATTAATACTCCATTTTTCTTTCAAGCACTTAAGAATGTTACAATTCACTATCAAATTTGAAACTTTCTCACCTCTGTAACTACAATAAATTAATCCAACTATGATGAGACCATCTCCTAAAACTGATTTCATGATGAGACAATTTCCATAACTTTAACCAAAGCTGTGATAACTAAAAACAGCCAGTCATGAACAAGGTTATCTAAAAGTATACTCAACACTGTAATGCATCCAAAAAGCTTTTGAATCCTCTACCACATTGAGCATATATTACATGGCACATCACTCTTCAGTAATTATGCACTCAAATCATCATCCAGCTGGGTTCTAATCTTAGTGTTATTATTCTCACAGATCAAATTTGCCCCCTCTACATTACTTTTCCCAAAAAGAAAAATGGCTGTATGAACAAGTATGAAATAATTCTAAAACCAGATACCCAAAGTGTCCTGTATTAAGAGACATTCATTTTCAAATCTCATTTTATACAAACTATTCTTAGAATCTAAGCCAAAAAATAAAAGCAAGAAAAGTCTGCTATATACATTCTATGTAGTTTATGCTATATCAATTAGACAAGTAAATTATGCCTTTGTCCTATGTGCTAAGACAGATGTAGGCAAGCTTTGTAAAAAGCCACATACAAATGATACCTAAAACAACATGGAATAACAATTAGTGGACTTGCTTCTTTTCTCCCATCATTGTCACTGAGCAGAATCACTTCAGTGCTTAAGCACCATAGCCAAGCTGCTTTCTTTTCACTAAGTCACACTGTTTGCCTAGGAGCAAAATTTCATTAGGCTTCTGATAGTGCCTTGGATACTGACATTCTGCCAGTATAAACAATCATGGTCAAGTCTAATGTGTATGTAACCATTTGTAGAAGAGACAATCTCACTCAAAATATTACTCAGTGGATATTACTAACCCTTTTACTCAGAATGTCATAAACCTAGTCATTTTTAGCAATTAAGACTCTAAAAAGCAGCATTGAGACTGGGCAGTTTGACTTCAAGGTTGATTGTGTTCATTACATCAGGCAGGGTGTAATTTATTTCACTCTTCACCCAGGAAGAGTTGGTGGTTATATGGCCAGGTCTAAGAGTAGAAATTAAGAATCAAACTCACAGCCTCTTAAATTTTTAAAAAACCGGGGTTACTTAGATTGTTGCCACTACAAAATGAAGTCAGCAATAGTGAGGGTGATTTTTAAATGCATGGGCATGAACTTAACAATGAACTACTGTAGACTAGAAACTAGTGGGGACTCTGTTTTGACTTGTTTGATCTAATATTTAAAACAAACTTAGCTGCCTATCACTGCAACTCAAGCTAAGTAAGACTATCCCCCCTCTTTTTATTTTATGTTTTTTGACAGTACACACTTATTAGTTCCATCTAAAATTATATTATCACCTCACTTCCACTAGGGGGGTCTATCTACCATGTAGTTAACTCCAATTGTTCAGGTGCTACTTAAATCTACTTCCATGCCACCAGTGTACACTTTACACAACTTCCAGTTTTCAGGCTCAGAAACTCAGGCCCAGAAGGAAAATGGAGTGTTACTGTCATTCTGAGGCTGCTGCAACAAAACAAAAAGGTTGGGGGAGGGGAAGATTCAAAACCAAAATCTCTTAAATATTCCCAATTTTAATGTTATAGTTTCTGCTCTGTTTTATAGAATAAATACGTTGCTGGGCACGGGTGGCTAACACCTGTAATCCTAATTACTAGGGAGGCTGAGATCTGAGGATCAGGCTTTGAAGGTAGCTCAGGCTGGAAATGCTCCAAAGACAGCTGGGCAGGAAAAGTCTAAGACTCTTTATTTCCAATTAACCGTCAAAAAGCCAGGCCCTAAATTCAAGCCCCATGACTGGCACACACACAGAAAAAAAGAATAAATATCTATCAACTGGATGCATTTTTGCAAATAAGGAATGTTTTTCAACTCCTGACCTCTGCCTGTTTTTATACTGGGAAATTTATGTAAATAGCTACTTAAATAGCAACACTGCCACGTTTCTTCCCCCAAATGGACAGACAACATGGGAAAGTTGTTTTAAGGCCACTCATTATTGTAATGAAACCTCAGGCCAGCAAACTCAACCAACTTTATTGTTCAAATTTTAGTATAACTGTTTCTGTGCTATTTCTAAGCCAAGTAATTCCAATCCACAATTGTTCATTCTAATCCAGGGATTATCCACTATTTTAAATAGATGCCCACAGTAGAGAACGGTTCAATTAAAATATTGAAGACTATGCCAATGAATATAGTGCTTACTACTTAAATACTATCTTTTGGGATATGACTTCTTATGTAACATTGAAGAAAGAAATGGGACAGGAGTAAAAGGTTGGCTTTCCTAGAAAATAATCAGATTTTTTTTGTTAGAAAAACCATAATGAGGTTACAAGGGAAGAGATCTATTTCTCAACATTATTTGAAGCACTTACTTTAAAAACCGCTCCTGTTTGGGATAAAATTCACTCCAAATTCACATTAAAATCCCAGTAGAATTCCCTCGAGGGGAGGCTACTTGACTTGTGTCTTTTTGGTAGAGGTAATCTTCAAAATATGGGCCTCAGCTATTATGGTCCAGTTTTACAATGAAAATACATCATGTATGACCATTACCCTGGGGACATTAAGAGACTCTAACACTCATCATGCCAATAAGCATGAATGGGGTGGTTGGTGAGCACTTACTTGTAATTCACTGTAAAATGCATCTCCAGAATCAAAGTTAGGCTCCTAAATACACAGTGACAATGAAGTAGATCATTTACTGCTCAGTAGTTGGGTTCCTCCCCCCCCCTCATTTCCCCCATGTTTTCTATCCATAGTGACCAGCCTTAGCAACCTTTTCCCCTCTCATCCCTCCTAACATTAGGCCAGGCATGGCCAGCATCCCTTCAGATTGCTCGTAAATGGTGAAGCTCTCCCACCTTAGTTCGAGTTTGGCCTACACCCCCAAGGATGTGGTACAAGCTCAGGTGAGATGTACGAAGCTGCCTGACGGATGGAAAGTGTCACCCGGTACTAACCCCACCTCATCTCATTAGGGTATAGTTTGGGTGAGGGCCAGGGAATGGGAAGGGGGGATCAAAACCCACAGGAACACTAGAGGACCGGCGGCAACTACTAGCGGACTGGTGAGGAGCTAGGGCGGGGGTGGTCAGCATTTCTGGGCCTCTGGTTAGAGTGGTTAAGAACTGTAGGCGGGGGTGGGGGGTGGGGGATGAACATAGACAAGTGCGTCTGTGCTGGGGAAGGGGTGACCCTAATTTGCTCCAGCCTCCCCTTGGGGCTCAGTCTCTCACGACACCCGCCCTCCAAGGATCTTCGGGTGCTGCAACCCTGACCTCGCACTTTGGCTGCAGAGCCTAAGGAAGCAATGAAGGAAGCCGGCAGTGCTGCGCCTCTGGGGGAAGAGGAGAACGGAAAGGTTCTGCCTTGCTGGGCCAGAGACGTTTGAATATACAAGGGGCAAAAAAGTGCTTACTCATAGGGAGGGAGACGCTGGGCAATCGAGAGTCCTCGGTAATGGCCAGGGAGGTAAGCCGGAGGAAAGCAGGCAGCCAGAGCTAGATTCGTACCCGGGCGCCTCCGCAGCCCAGTCCGGCCCCGCCCCACTTGGAACCCTGGGGTCGGCGGCTTTATGCCCGGGTCAACCGCAGCCAAAGCGGCGGGAGCTGGAGGCGTCGCCCAGCTGCAGGCTCCGGGATTTCCTGAGTCCAGCGGCAGGAGGGAGGGGGAATAGCAATAGGTGGAAAAAGACAGCAAAGGGAAGTTAGGCGCTTGGTTTTCCAGTTCGCGGACATAGGCGCGCGCAAGAGAAATCGGGGCAAAGGTTGGCGTCAGTGACTCCAGCCCGAGGTGGGCAACAAGTTAAGAGTAAGTAGAGAAAAAAAACAAACGTATTCTCGAGTGAGGAACACAAAAAGTAGGGACCGGAGGGGGTAGTGGGGAACCCTCAGCCACTCCCATCAATCCTTCTTGCGAAGAATCACCAAGGCACCCAAAGACGCTTACTGTAATCTCTTTCGCCTCCCCCCCGTCCTCTTCCCTGCCTTGCACAACCCCCGTCTCCACTGGTCCTAGGCACGTTCCGGCAGAGGTTCCGGGAGATGCTGTGCCGAAAATCCACTCCTGCCCACGCCCAGGAAACCCGCTCCCTTCAGGCTCGCCAGCGCTACCGAATACTTACGTAAAGTCGCCGAGATCCCGGGTCTGGCCACCACTGTCGCCCACCACGCACTCAGACAACTTCTGCTCCTCGCAGTCTCTGCGGCTGCGGTTCTAAAGCCAGCGCTCCCTCCCTCCAGCCCCCCTCGGCCATTCGGCCGCCGCCATTGGCTCTGGTGGTGCTAGCAGTCCGCCTGGGAACCAGAAAGGGGATTGGGCCGTGAGCCTGTCACATCAACTGGGTGGGGAGCTGAGGGAACAGGCACTGGGATGGGCACTCTGGCAGGATGGGAATTGTAAACGGCTGCAAGATGATGTTAGTTCCTTCACACTCATTCTCCCTGAGCTAAGTAATTATAAGTTATACTTATAAACTCACCGAGCTTAGCTTGGAGTACATGTTCAAAAAATTTTTAAAAAAAGATAGAAATGTCCAAACAAGTTTGAGCCTCTTCTATTTAAGTCTAGGGCGGGAGGAGGTGCGGTGCCCCCCTCCCCAGGAAGTGTGTATGGGGGATGGGGGGGTGGGGAGAATCTCTGAAATGAAAGCCTTGGTGCTGGTTTCATCTGCTCTGATCAGCTCAGGTGCCAAACCACGTGGAGGGAAACCTCAGCTACTAATGCTTTCTTTGTTTTTGTTTGTTCTGAAAGACTGTCTCACAGTGAACTCCTGACTGGCTGGCTTGAAACTCCGGATTCTCCACCTTATGCCTTTCAGGTGCTGGAATTGGAGGTGTGCATCTTCTACCACACCCCAGCTTATCCCTTTCTTCACAAACTCAACATAGTAGCAAATCTCTCGGGTTTTTGGCCGCGAACCAAATAAATTGCCAACTGAAATCACCTGTTTGGTAGCTTTGTCCTTAGGACAAGGGGTGAGAGGTGGAGGTGGGAGTGATTGTTCTACTCGTTTAACTGGAAACTGTCTCTCAATTCTCGTCAGTCTCCTTTAGGCAGTGAATGACCTGAGGACTTGTTCTAGCTCCTCAGAGTTCCATTTTAGCCCCACTGTCTACGGTCCTGCCTCGCAGAGTTTTTTCCAACTTATCTACATTCCAATCCTTTGGCTCATCCTAGCTTCAAAACTCAGCTGGCAGGCCAGAGTTGGAGATATTCTCCAAGATCTGGTAAAGAGATTGGCTTGTTGAAAAGGTGGAGAAGCAGAAAGTTCTAAGCACTTTCCTGTTCCACTCATAACCATTTTTATTCAGGAAATGTATGTTTTTGGATGGTTGTAAAATTCGAAAATTGGTCGGATTAAATCCCATTTGTACATGCACCAGGAAAAATGTTAAATTAAGATAGTCTTAAATTGAATTGTCTTATAAAGGAGCCCCCACTTCATCTGTTGCTGAGAGTTTACTTAGAAAATTTAATCTATTGTGAATGCCAGACTTCTTAAATAAGAAATGGGGGAGTTCCTATACTGGCTAAATGCTACACAACCAAGGGGAACAGGAAAAAGACTTGTTAAATATTAATTAATGATTAATCAACTGGCAGGACTTATGAAAGGCACAGGAAGGTGAAATGAAATAAAAGGGCAAACATACTTTCCAAAACATTAAATTTCTGCTAGGAGAAATTTTGTGATACATCAGGTTTGGGTCATCACAAAAATCCTGACTTGAACATGTTGGGATTGAGTTGAACTTGCAGTGTTTTCAGCACATCTATAGTGGGGCTCTAAAATGAGATTTCTGGCTTGCAATAACTAGCCCAAGGCTTGGTGTGGTCAAAGGAATTCATACAAAATTCCTAAGCACACTAAATAGGATCCTTCAGTTTTCCACTTTTTATTTTGGTGTCAGTCACTACTGAAGAGCTTCCATTTCCTTTGAAACTTAAATTATAGACAACAATAGCATAAAGGTTTTCAAGTGTAGGTATATTTGTCTTATTTAACTTAGCATTGCATTTTAGTTTCTTTTTTAAGTTCTAGAATTTTTGTCGGGGGGTGGGGTGGGAGCAGAATTGGAATTTGAACTCAAAATGTTGCTTTTGGTTGTACTACTTACTTATCCCCAACCCTTCTTGTTTTACTTTATTCTTCAGGTAAGGCCTTAAACATTTTGCCTGGACTGTCCTAGAACTGAGATCTATCTCCATTTCCTGGGATTACAGGTATGCACCACCACACCTCATAAGTTCTAGAATTTAAAATAAAAATATAACAATCTTGCTGGGAAGGTGGCTCAGTGGTAGAGTACTTGCCTTGCATGCATGAAGCCCTGGGTTCAATTCCACAGCACCACATAAGCAGAAAAAGCCAGAAGTGAGGGTGACGCTCAAGTGGTAGAGTGCTAGCCTTCAGCTGAAGAGCTGAGGGACACCATGCAGGCCCAGAGTTCAGGCCCCACGACCGACCAGAAAAAAGAGAGAGAGAGAGAAAAAAATACCAATCTTATATGTATATTATTTACTTGTACCTCTGAGAATTTTTTTAAAATCTTACATAGGTTTAAAAGTCAATCACTACTGAGTATGTCATACTTCAGTCAAATGGGCTGGGAATTTAATTCACTAGGTAGACTCTAGGGTCCATCACCAGCACCATACACAGAAAAAAAAGAAATTTAGCCAAATGTCATTTTGTACATTTCAATACTTCAAGGTAACAGCCCAACTTCTAAGATCTCAGTAACTTTCCAACAGATAAAACATGCCCAAAGCATAGAAGCACATATTTGAGTTCTGGTCTAGATTCCTATTGAATTAGCCAAGCAGTATAAAGCAGGTAGAACTTCTTTTTAATGAGTACTATTAAGATAGTCAATGTGATATAACTAAGCTACTCTGTTATTGCTCCAAATCTGAAAGGTCTTTTCAAAATTGAGACTATATTTCATTGTAATCTTTCACCATAACGCTTGCTTTATGATTCTTGCTTTGAGATTCTACCTGTGTAGAATCTCTCACAAAGCAAGCAAAGTTGACAGTCTGTTTATTATCTATGTAAATAAGCCTGCAGAGATGGTCTTCAGGGTCTCCTCCAGCTGCTCTGGAGGGGATAGGCTGAGATTCATCTTCACAGAGCCTTGCAGACTGCCTATCACAGAGAAGTTCAGTTCAATAAATGTTTGTTGAACTAATGGTTATTTTATGGGTATATTCTTATATAAACAATGGCAACAAAATGCCATATATAGGTCTCTCACTGACCTTTTCCTTCCATATACACTTTTCAACTCAGCATAGCTTTGAAATAACTTAAAATCAATATCATAAACCTTTGACAGCATTACTTCTTCCTGTCCACATTGTACTTCATTTGAGGGTCCATATTTTCTTTTAGGATTTATCCCTATCCAGCCTACCTGGCTTTCTTCCTTACCACGTGCACATTTCAATTTTCTTGGCCCCTTTCCTACTGCGTTTCCCAAACTCTACACTGTCCAGTCCACAGATTATGTATATAGTCTGAAATTTTCTAGAACTTTTCCTAGGGTAGGTTGTCGGTATTCTTTTTATTCACTGTTAAAAGCTTCGTTTTAAAACCAAGCATTAGCCAGGCATCATAAGGCTGAGATCTAAGGATCATGGTTCAAAGCTACCCTGGACAGAAAAGTCCATGAGACTCTTATCCCAATTAACCACCAGAAAACCAGAAGTAGAACTGTGGCTCAAAGTGGTAGAGCACTAACTTTAAGTGGATAAAGCTCAGGGTTAGAGCCTAGGCCCACCACCAATGGACAGAAAACAAAAGCAAAATCAAGCATTGTTATGCAGGTTTATAATCCTAGCATTCAGGAGTCTAAAACATTTGGATTTCAAATTAATAGCCAGCCCTAGGCTGTGATAGAAGCAATGCTATTTATAAAAAATTAGAATCTCCAGTCTTTGGTGGCTTACACCTATAATACCAGCTACTCAGGAGGCTGAGATCAGAGAATCACAATTCAAAACCAGCCAGGGCAGTAAAGTCTGTGAGATTCTTATCTCCAATTAACCACTAGAAAACCAAAAGTGGAGCTTTGTCTCAAAGTGGTAGAATGCTAGCCTTGAGCAAAGCCCAGAGATAGTGCCCAGGCCCTGAGTTCAAGCCCCATGATGGAAAAAAAGATGTATTTAATTCATTGACCTTCAACTCTGTAGACCCAGTGAAGGTCACTATCAACAGTATATATCTTTTTTTGGGGGGTGGGGTCCAGTCGTGGGACCTGAACTCTGGGCCTGGGCGCTGTCCCTCAGCTCTTCAGCTCAAGGCTAGCACTCTACTACTTGAGCCACAGCGCCACTTCTGGCTTTTTTCTTTTTGCTTATGTGGTGCTGAGGAATCGAACCCAGGGCCTCATGCACGCAAGGCAAGCATTCTACCACGGAGCCACCTTCCCCGCCGCCCACAGTATATATCTAAAATTAAAGTGTCTCTTGTGAGTTTGCTGTCTGCTAAACAAGGTTAATAATGAAGATCAGTGGCACGTGTCTGTAATCCCAGCCCAAAGAGAGACAGAGACAGAGATGGAGGTGGGGAGGGGAAAGGAAGGGAAGGAAAGGGAAAGAAGGGAGAGGGGAGGAAGGGACAATTCTTTATTTTATTTTTAAATAATCTTTAAGTAATTGTACAAAGGTATTGCCATTCAGCCAAGCCATTTGTGAGTAGTGTACAATGCATCTTGATCAATAAATAACACTTTCATCATTCTCCCCCATCCCTCCCAACTCCATCTTTTCCCTAATTTTCTTTCAATTTTTGTAGGATATGCATTGAATTTTATGACTTCTTTCCCCCCCCCCTTCCTCCCTTCATTCATCTACTCCTCTCTCATCCTCCCCCCAGCCCCCCAACTGGCTCTATAGAATACCAGTGTTTATTTTGGTGGACTGTCAGCCTTTCTTAAGGAATTAAGATTCTTGTAGCTATCTGTGATGTTTTAGCATTAAATTATCATAATCAGCATAAAAAAAGCAAGGAATTAGGTGTAATTCTAATAGAAAAACTAACATAAACAAAATTAGGAGCAGACAACTAGAGTGGAATGTGTAGTGGTGCTTTAGGGATTGTGAAAACAAGGCCAGTGATGGGGCTTGGAGCAATCCCAGAGGGCATCCTGTGTGCCCTAGGA